GATCAAGAGATGCGATGTGAAGAATGCAACACGAAAAGTTAAACTATCATAATGATAAACAGAATTGTCCATAAAATCATACGAACAAATGTGCCATAAAAACAAAGAAAAGTGCAATACCCCAAAATTTCATATAGTGACCAAAATGAAAATTTTAAAAGTTTAGTGGCCATAGTATAATCTTGGGAAAATTTAGGTACCAAAGTGTAATTTTAAAAAATTATGTAATTTGGTCCCGTAAATGAATAGATCACCCCAAGAATAATGTTTCCATGGGAATCATATTTTTCATACGGATTTTGAATTAAAAGCTATAAAGTGATAAAGTTTAAGAAAAATCCGGATAATCGAATCGAATCAGATTTTGAGATATTTTGAAGGATGATTAAGCAAGTTTAAGAATTTCATTTCCATATCTTAATTTGTAAGGACTTAATATGGATCATTGGATTTAAGATAATTTTTCCATGTTGAATATGAACCGTTGGATTTAAGTGATTAGATTGTAATTTTTGGAAAATTTCAAGGGAAAAATTGGAAGATAAGAAATTGTTTGATCATGATGATGTAAGGGATGATAAAAGCATGGTAATTTAGTAATTATCATGAAATTCAAGGGTAAATTGGTTAAAATATTTAATTTTAAGGGTAAATTAGTAATTTTACATAAAATGAATTTTTAATTCATTTATTTAATAAAGAAAGATGAAGAAAAATCAAGAGATTTGTTTCATCTTTCTCTCCATTGACATGAGCTCCTCTAAAGATCGAGATCAAAGAAAGCTAGAATCGTTAAGTAAGGATACTAATGAAGCATTACAAGGTGAGTGCATTTGACTTATTCTATATAAGTATGACATGAGAAAGACATGCGATGAGTCAACCTCGAATGACTTGAAAAGAAATTGATTTTATTTTATATTATTTTGTTTAATGATTTCTTATGAATGATTTTGGGTATGAATTGTCCAGTACATTTTATATTATATTTTGATATATTTGTATTTATGAATACTTTGATAATTAAATGATACGTGAATGTGATGGAAAATCCCATTGTATGCATATTAAGATTTATATTGTGTGATGCTTGATTTTGTTAATATTTAAGAAGTATGATGAGTGAATGATATATGATACTAGATTGTGAAGATGGTTAAAGAGATTTTGATAAGTGAATGATAAGGATTAAATGAAAATGCCTAGTGTAAATGCATTGAGAGTCATAGGTATAAAGTCAGAGCATTATAAGAAACTTGACACGTTACCTGACATCATGTATGTGACGGTGATGCCACTAACAGTTGCATTATATTTTTAGCACGTAACCTGACATTCCGTGTGTGATGGTGGTGCTATTATATGATACTGTGCATGTAACCTGACGTTTGTGTGACGGTGGTGCGCTGATACTTAGCATGTAACCTGACGTCTAAGTGACAGTGTTGCTAAAGTATCAGGAATACATTTTATGACACAAATCTAACATCTGTGTGGTGGTGGTGCTTGTATGTAAGTGATAATGGTGCGATGTATTCCTTATTCTAGCACATTGACGTTGTGTTCTACAACACTTATGTATTATATGTGTATGCTACTAGCAGCTGCATTATATTGAGCACGAGTTTGACGTCTGTGTGACAGTGGTGCTAAAGTACCAAGAATACATTTCATGACACGAATCTAACGTCTAAGTGATGGTGGTGCCTGCACTTATGTGATGATGGTGTGGTGTATTCCTTAAAGTGGCACATTGATATTGTGTTCTACAATACTTGTGCATTATATGTGTATGCTCGTATGACTCGCATACCTTGCATTCTCAATGGTTTACATTGGGCTATGAAATGAAAAAGTGAAAGGTATATGATATGATATGAAAATGAATGATACAGGCTTCAAAATGAATTAAATGAATGATACGTGCTATGAAATAAATGAAGTGAATTGAACATGCTATGCTATGATATGAATGAAATGAAATGAAAAGCTTATTTTTGAATGAAGTTAAACTGAAATAGTCTAAACGATGTGAATTGAAAATGATATTGCTTTAGGAACTCAGTTTTGACTTTAAATGTTTCATGATGTTTCTTTGAATCATAGATAGTTTTTAAATGACGTTTAATTTAATTATACATTCATTATATTTTGTTATAAATATGTTTTATTACTGTTTTTTATTTTATGTTTTATTACTATTTTTATTTTAATGATATTAATATTTTAGTAGTAACTTAAAGTCTAACTAAGTATATACTTAGCGTGCGATGATTTTCACACGTAGGAAAAGAAGAGCGTTTGGAGTAAGGAGCTAGGCCCAACATCAACATTTGAAGATCAGATCCGCTCCAGAATCAGTACGACATCTTTTTGAATGTTGGCAGTACTATTTGGCATGTATACTAAATGGTTATGATACTTAAAAATAGTTGTGTTTGAATCTAGTTTATTTAGATGATACATAATATTACTATTTATGAAAAATGGTTTGGTGATTAGTATTTAGTTAAGTGATTTTAATTACTATCTAATTGAATATTTTAAGACCTTAGATAATAATTGAATTATTTTAGAAAGAAACAAAATTTTATTGATTTTCAAATAAGAACTATATCGAAAGAATTATGTGACATCCTGGACTCGTATGCGGTAATGTATACGGGAAATGGGCGTTACAAAAAACCAATGCTTCAAGAATATGATAAATGAAAGAAAATAAGATGGGAGGATGTTTATTTAGATCTAGATCAAAAGAAAATTAAACAAAATTAAAATAAGAACATTAGAGGCGACGACACTTTGAAAGCTAGAGAATCACATTAGAGTTAAAAATTAGTACTTTTTGTTCAACACTCATAAGGACACGAAAAATCTAAATCTATATAATACATCCAGCAGGGATTTTTTATATACACAAAAACTCAAACTCGAGATATTGATTAAATGATATCAAGCTACTTATCACTTGAACCAACCCCTATTGGTTATATAATATATTTGTATTATTATAATAATTATTAAATTATATAAATTTTGATAAATTGTATATTATAATTTTATTCAAATTAAAACTTAGAAAATAAATTTGATAATTTATATTATAAATTTATATCGTAATTTTAATAAAATTATAATATATAGTTTATCAAAAATATTTTTAAGTTTATATTTGAATAAAATTATCTGTTAGGATTGTTATGATTACATATTATATATATATATATATATTTGATATTCTTTAAAAGAATCTTTATTTTTTCCAGACAAATTAAATAAAAAATCTTTGTTTTTTTTTCTTGATCGACGTAGGTGAAATGAACGATTTGTAGGATGTTAGTGTTGATTTTTCTCTGTTAGTGAATATGCAAACATATGAAATATCAATATATCATTGTATTTGTGTTAAAGTTTCATTTGCTTCATGTATATATAATTGCTTAAATTCAACTATTGGGGCTTATTGTCGGCAGTACTAAAACATATAAATTCTAAGATAAATATACGGTGCACATAGTATACCGCAACATATTACTAAAGCGACGTACCAAAATACATCACAAATAAATTTATTCTTATTATGTAAATATTTAAAAGTATAAGGGTTTATTTAAAATTAATTATTTATTAAAATTTAATTATAATTTTAATAGAATTATAACTAATTTAATTTGTTTATAATTATGATTTTTAAGTTATATAAGTTAGAATCGACCATCAGCATTAGTTACTGCCGATTGCCACCTTAACTCGCTGGAAAATCAATTGCTAAAACATCCAATGCTTTCGTTTATCGTCGTCCAATTCGTCATTGTGCAGTTTGACGACGCCCAATAGTCGACCCTCCTAAAGGAGAAACTCTGTCATTTGTGTCGGTTGGCGTCCGTCCCAGCTAGATCGACCACGACTAGAGAGTTAAGCACGATGGACTTACACGTGGAGATGGTTGGTGATGAACAAGAATTAACGGTCGTGGTTGGTCTGGTTAGGACAGGTGACGGTCGGGGATGATTCTTCGAAGGTCACCGCACTTAAAAAAAAGGAAAACAAATAGACGACGACTAATGCAAACGATAGAGCTTCTCCTTTGGGAATATCGACTGATAGGCGATGCCGAACTAGGTGACGGCAAACAAAAGCGTTGAATGTTGTAGCAGTTGATTTTCCAGCGAGTTAAGGTGGTCGCCAACGGTGACTGATGCTGATATTCGGTACTAACTTATATAACTTAAAATCCTAATTCTAAACAAATTAAATTAGTTATAATTTTTAATAAAAAATTATAATTTAATTATAATTCTATTAAAATTATAATTAAATTTTAATAAATGATTAATTTTAAATAAATCATTATACTTTTTAATATTTACATAATAAGAACAAATTTGCTTATGATGTGTTTCGATACGTCATTTTAGTGGTACATTATGGTATGCAACGTGTGACGTAGAATTTTTCATAAATTTGATGAAAATTAATTATTTTAGATTTGAATGAGTTGGAATTAAATTTATTTTAAAATTCAACCATTGAGTTTTTTTACTCTGTCACTTTATTTTCTTCTCGTGCTTTATAGGTCTTTTTAATTTCACTAACTAATTGTATCATTTAAAATTATTTCATTTCAATATATATTCAAATTAAAATTGATAAATCTAAACTGGATTCGATACATTCCTGTTTACAATGATATCTTACCAACACATTTACAATCTGTAGTCTGAAGATTAATAGTGGAGAGTGATAAACATTCTTAATGGATAGGCTGAGGGGGTTAATGGCAACACCATTGTCATTCTAATACGTGAGCTACTGAATAGAGAACGAGATTCGACTGTTTGTCACATTAAAAGGGAAGCTCATATGGTACCCCATAAACTTGCTATACAATGCTAGGGATATCCGGTAAGATCTTCCCATGAAATCAATAAGAGTGACCTAATTTGTTATTTTGTATTAACGTGAATGGAAAAACAAAGATGAATATTTGAGAGAGAAAAAAAAAACAAAAGGCAAGATTTATTTTATCAAACCAAGCTTTTGAGTAAATTACAACACTGAAATTATACAAACGAAGAATCCCAGTGCCATTGCCAAACCAAGACAGAAGAAAATCAAATAATGTACATCTTTCTCAACAAAGCCTCTTGACCATAGCAGCCATGTATTTCCCCTGATGCTCCGCGAGACCCAGCTCGCTTTCAGTTGGCTCTCTTGAGCCGTCACCGGCGTAAACACCGGCACCGTAGGGTGAACCACCTCGTAAGGAATCCATCCTGAACATACCAGCTCCGAAAGTGTAGCCAATGGGAACAAATAGCATTCCATGGTGTACCAATTGAGTTATTGCCGTCCAACTGAACCAGATGGAAGCAAAGAAACGTCGGAATGTTGATGAAATATTCAAATGAGTGATAATTACATTGATGATCAGTGAATAGAGAACAGTTATAATCAAAATTGCAACTTACGCAGTGGTTTCTTGGCCGCCTCCTTGAGTTCCAGAACTAACAAAGAACCCAGCTGGCTTCCCCGTCAGCGTCTGCTCCTTCCAAAGGTGCCCCGTGGAGTCGAAAAACGCCTTCATTTGAGCCGCCATACACCCATACCTCGTCGGAAATCCAAATAGGAACCCATCCGCCTCCGCCAATTCCGCAACCTGAATCTCCGAAACCTCGGGGGTTTTAGAAGGCGCCTTCATATGCTCCACGACATCAGCGGGGAGAGTCTCGGGAATCCTATAAAGAACCCCCTCGACACCTTTCACGCCGTCGAAGCCTTTCTTAATCCGCTTCGCCAGTATCTCCACGTGACCATACATGGAGTAGTAAATAATAAAGACTTTTAAAGTGGCGGTAACAGATGGGGGAGTAGTAGAATTCACCGTTACAGTGGCGGTTCCGTGGGTTCCTTCATCGGCATCGATGGGTGCGTTGTCGGCAATGTTAGTGATAGTGGTGAAGCCACGGTGGCGGGAGGAGTCTTCGGCAGAGGAGGTATCTTTCTTTTTGCTGGGGATACAGCCCCCGCCTTTTCCCATGGGGGATTAAGGGGAAAATCAAGAGGTGGGGGTGAAGGACAAGGCTTTTAGGTTTTATTGAATCCGAGTGGAAAGAAGAAGAAATAAATGAGGGTAAACTACATGAAAGGTTACAAAATTTTGAGTAAATATTTTTTCCTCAATAAACTTTCAAAAGTTACAAAATACTCACTAACATTATGGATTTATAACAAAATATCACTCCACCATAAACTGTCAAATTGATGACGTAGCAACTATCCAGTGATCATTGTAAGCATATAGTTCATTCTGATCATCATCTTCAAATGTAACATACCATGCAGGAATACGGTGACCCCGCCAAAGCTGCCTTGAAATACACCAATAATGGATATTGTCAAGCCACCTGCAACATTTGGAACTTCTCACTTAGGTTAGGCCACCATTAAACCTGGACTGTATAAGATAAATTTGAAAGAGTATACAAATTAAGTGAAGCCACGAAGCCATTGATGAAAACCAACAAGACTCGTTAACTTAAAACCAATAGCTTCTGTCATCTTTTCTTCCTTTCTTTTTTTAATGAAAATGTTCAGGCTTTTGCTTAATTAGATCGTATCAATCTGAAAAAAATATGATAATCTGGCAACACCCAACATAAAAAATATTCACAATACTCTAGCAAAATCATTATTCTACAGCATATTGACAGAAAATGAGCACCTTTTCCATTATGCAGTATACTGTTTTGGAACGAACTCAAGCTTCCTGTTAGGAAATGGTTTTTTTAGGGTTTGCATAAACCCCTTCATTCCGTTTTGGGTTTGGGAGGAGGTGGGAGAAGCGGGGAGGGGAGGAATACGGTGACCGTGGTGGGTATTTGAAAAAAATTGAAAATTAGATTTTTTTTTTTGTAAATTAGATACAAACAACAACAACAACAACAAAACCCTATTTCCATATACAATGGGATAAGGGGAGGTAGAGTAGTAGGCTGTCTCCAATGCCAGGTTGAGAGCATCTTCTGTGGAAGACCTCTGGCAATCAGAAAATTAAAAATAAATATAAAATACAATGCATGTATAAATAAATAAATACATAGTTGAACCGTCTTCAAATGCAGAGAAGGAAACATAGAAGTCAGCGATAGCAAGCTACGAGAAGGAATAAAGTCAAATGGGTTAAAACCTAAACTAAGGCAACATTACTCCGCTACCCTAGTTCTAAGTCTTCGTAAATTCCAATGACAAAAACATATACAAAGTAGAGGTCATGGAAATTACTACAAAGGCAATTAAAAAGAAGACAGAGATGCTACACCCTACGGCTGTGACCCACACTACTTGGCTACCCTGGTCTTAAGTCTCCATACTTTCCTATATGAGGTCATGTTCTCGGTAAGGGCTAAATCCTTCAAATCAGATCTCAAGCAGTCTACCCACTTCCTCCTTGGTCGCCCTCTCCTTCTGGCACCGTCGATTGTAATCGACTCTACCCTCCTGACCACATCCGACGGTTGTCGCCTAAGGATATGCCCAAATCACTGTAGTCTTCCCTCCCTCAATTTTCAGATACAAGCACCACCCCCAAGGACCTATTATTGTTTAAGGACCTATTTGATGTTTCAACAATAGTTTAGGAGAAAAAATACATATTAACATTTTTGTTAACATTGCCATGTCATCAACTTAACGAGGTAACGATGGAGTGTGCATTTTTTTACAAACGATATATTTGTAAATTTTGAAAATGTTTTAACAGTAGCGACTGAGACTGCAAAACTTGTGGTTCAACACTCGTTTTGAAATAATTTTGATTCCAATTTAGCAGGCAAATTTGATTATTGTATAATATTAAAGGTGTTATCTAAAATGGTTATATCATAATCGTGATACCTATAATTAGGGATAGACCGAAGGGGAGCGCATGGCACAGTGTCCCCTGAAAATTTAAAATTATTATATGTTTTAGTTTTTCTTCATGTATTTTTTATTAAAAATATATTTTCGTCTCTTGAAATTTTATAAGTTTATCCCCTAAAATTTTATAAGTTCGTCTCCCAACATAAAATTTTACGTACATCCATGCCTGTAACGACTGTAATAGTACTCATATAGTACTCATTATTGTCACAATCATGATAAATACAATGCAACAAAAATACTACCGTAATTATAATCGAAATTCATGTTAAGATCCGGAGGATGTAACGTGAATAAAGTTGTAACTTATTTTTAGGCTTAATGCAAATATAAGTATCCAAATTATATTTTAAATTAACTTTAGTCGTCTAAAGAATTTTTTTGTTAAAAATAAGTGTTTAACCTTTTCTCCGTTACACTTTTAGGTACCTATGCAGTAATGACCATTAAAAAGATCGTTAAGTGACACATGTCATGTTTGTATTTTGACTTAATACAAAAATAAGTGTCCATAATATTCTAAGTTAACAGTAGGTGCCTAAAGAACGTTTTTGTTAAATATAGTTGTTTAACGTTTCAAACATTATATTTTTAGTTGCCTATGCAGTAATTGCCGTTAAAAACTGTTTATATTTTTTGATTTTTTTTTTAAATTTAATAGTGTTATTAATCTAGAAAAACTAAATTTTCTCTTAAATTTTAAAAAATCTTAGAACCCTAAAGTTTCTCATTTCAACACTATTATCAGTTGTCGTCGATCATTACTGGTTTCCTTTGTCATCGTCGAACGACCACTCACCCGTCGCTATACCTCCACTATTAATCATCCCTCTTATCATCGTCTCAATCCTCCTAAATCTATAAATACAAACTTAAATCTCTAACCCTAATTTCTAAATCTCTAACCTTAATTTCAAATTTATCATTCTTTCCTTAAGTTAAGCTAAAGATTTATAGGGGTGAGGGAGGGGATCTAAATTCAATTAGGTAGGAGGGGAGATTTTTGCGCTGGCGGGAGGGGAGAATTTGTTCTTCAAAAACATTAAACACATATTCTTAACAATATATTATTTAACACCTAAAGTTAACTTACATTATAATTTGGACATTTACTTTTACATTGAATTTTTTCTTTTTAATAGAAGAGTAAACTATAATAGAATATAATGAATAAAGCAGTGCCTTATAATCGAACGACTCAACAAAATAATATCCTATAGTCGGAGGATCATTATATACTTTACTCATAAATTAATTAGAAATAACCAAACTTTGAGTCCAATATAAAAATCATATCCTATATATCTTATGTAAGAAGAGCCATTAGTGGATATCTTTTCAACCTATTCATAACCACGTGTGGGAAGCTATAATTGGCAACCTATACATCAAATGTTCAAATAACTGAAGTTGGTTGAGACTGGTTTTTGAGTTAAGGTAAGCAATTGCACTCAACTCTCTCATCTGCCTATCGTCAATGCAATTTATTTCCATGCTCCAAGCTTGCTGTTTTCTTAAATTCTTCCTAACCCTCAACCTCAATCTTTTTTCTTGCGCTCATGGTTTCAGAGTTTTCTCTTGAGTAATCCAAACTGACCCATGTCGTACATTTCATTTTGGTGGATGAGTCTCCCAATAAGGATTTTCTACATACACGTGCTAGGAAATTTATCATTAAACTTCGAAATTATGAGATTCAGTTTTTAAAACCTTGAAGCTTTAGTTAACACGATTTTAGTAGAGTTCGCAAAGATGAGTCCTTTGAAGTCTTCAAGTATCTTACGATTGAGTTTGATCATGCACAAATACTATAATTAGGTTCTAAATTTGTATTTATTTTGAATTAAGTCCTATTATTTGTTGATGTTGTCCAAGTTATTATGGTCTAAGTCTTGATATATGTGATTATCAATATGTCTGTTTGTACAATTAAATGATATATTTATTTATTTGTCAAAATTGTAATGATTTATTCTAATTATGTTTATAAAAATATTCAGAATATAATTTTGTTTGTCTATATGCTGATTAATTCTAATTGTAATCATAGGGGTGTATTATTTATAAGAGAAAATAACCTCAGTCACCGAAAATGCCTTATAATATACGATTTTAACCAATTTTTTTTGGATTTACAAAAATGACCAACAAATTCGCAACGCGATCTCAAAACCCAGTTTCCAAATTCGCGTTGCGATTTTCCAAATTCGCGTTGCGAATATGTAAATCGCAACGCGAATTTGGAAAATCGCAACACATAAGTCAAATTCGCAATACTGAATTTCAAATTCGCAATACTGAATTTCAAATTCGCAACTGAATTTCAAATTTGCAACTCGATTTTCGAATTCGCAACACGAATTTAATTTAGCAACAAGTTTTAGTTTCACAACACAAATGTTTTGGGTATATAACTACGCAGCAGCAGCAACTCATAACCTAAATCCCTAAATCGCAACTCATTCCATCTCATCTATCACTCTCTCGGCGACATCCGTTCCTATATCCAACATCATTCCTCATCTCTAATTTTTTTACATAATTTTATTTCTATACAATTTTTCAATGATTTCTCTCCCAAATTATCAACTATCAACTTAATAAAGGTATGTTTTTCTCTAAGTTAGTGCTGATATCTAGTTTATAGCTCGTTTGTTTAGTAAATTAATTTACAATTTGTAGAATGAAATCATCTAATGTTGATCATGTTTGGATAGATTTGTGTTTTGGAGGGTTATGGGAAAATGTTCATGGTGTTTTACAATATGTGCCTTTACCCATGAATCTTCAACTAAAACTGTCATTAAAAAAGTTAACTTATGAAACTCTAATGTTACGTGTTGCAAAGAAAATTGAATTAGAGCCTCTAAGTGGATTTAGGCTATTATCAGAAAAAATGTAAAATTTATTTGTTAACCGACAATGAAGATGTTGAACGATTCATTGCTTATATTAGTGTTTCGCAAGATGATGTTACATTGTATGTTATTGAACCTAGAAGTAATGAAGTTGGGTCAGTAGTGGGTAGTAATCAACTCAGTTCTTCAACCCAGTTTATAGTGCTCACAATGTACAACGTTGTTATCAACCTCAAAATTTAATGGTTCCACCACAATTTCATCA